GAAAACCCGCCGGGCTCGTGTGGCCCGGGCCTGCCCTGTCACCCGGCTTGCTCGGTTTCCCTGTCGGTGTCCCTGTCTCTCATTCCCGGGCTCTGACTTCCTGTTCTGGTGGACCAGGGCTTTAGTCCCCCCGCCCAGGCACAATTCTACATTAAATGCCTGTCCGGCGTCCCCAGGATTAATGCAATGTAAATATGATTTCGTGTTCAATCGGGAGTTAATAATCACCTCATTTTTTCCATTGACTTCGCTTAAAAAAAGAAAAGTCTTGGTTTTTGTTCCCACACTCGGGTACAGGGTCATAAAAACCCCACAGAGGAGTTTCCAGAGCCCAAGTGCAGACAGAGTGTGTTCTTAGAGACCTGTGATTGTCCCTCCTCTGGACCAGCTGTCCCTTGGGCCGGGACACTTTGTACCCCAGCAGGGAGCCCTTCACCTCTTCCCCACGCACATCCGGGGTCCTGGGCTCCAGGTCCTCCCCGCTGGTGGCCGACTGGCCTGTGGATGGCACCCAGGCCCAGTGACTTCCCAGGAGGCCTGTGGGTTTAAGACGGCCCCCTCTGCTCGCCCCAAGGCCTAGTTGGGGACAGAATTCCAGGCTGTGGCTCGACGGGTGGCCGACACCTGTGGGTGCCTCCAGCTTGTTCCCAGCCCTTGTGTGTAACTTTTGGCAACTCTTTTCTGTATTCTGGAAGCTTCTAGAACTTTCACTGTATCCCAGAATTTCCGAGATCCCCTAATAAAGGYGCTTTGTTTGGGTGCTTTCCGTCCGTTGTTGGGGGCACCGAGGGGACTGTTCCAATTTGGAGAGCTGCGTTCCTCAATCCTGGGGAGGGTTTCKGTATAGTTTCCTCCCAGAACCCCTGTCGTCGGGCCGCCTGCGCCCAGCTGTGCCCCGTGAGGGCCCTCTGCTGTGGTGTCCTGGGCTCTGTGGAGACCACGGGCCTCCTTCTCTCTCCGGGGACAGCAGTGACGGTTCCTTCAGGGTCCCCTCTCCTTCCGTGTTGCTTGGTCACGGGAGGGACCCCCTGAGCTGGTCGCCCTTCACCCCTGTTCCTGTTCAGAGCAGGCGTCACGGCGCTGGCTGGGGCTCAGGAGCACCRTGGGACAGCTGGGTCTGTGTCGAGGACGCCAGAAGCCGGCACCTGGAAGACCTTCCTGTGGGTGCCCAGGTCCCAGTTTCCGTCTGGGCCGAGTGTGCTCCTGGSCACTGGTGCCCCTGAACTGGGCTGGAAACATCCATCCGGTCCAGAATCTCACTGTCCGCTCATCCCCCCGCCTCGGGCAGATACTGCCGCGTAACAAACCTCACGGCATCTCGAGGGCCAGAGCAGTTGATGTTTATTCACTCACACCTTCAGGTCAGCGGGGATGGGGGGACCTGGACGGGCCAGCTGGGCACCTGCCCGTCAAGTCACCTGCACATCAGGTTACAGCCGGTCAGCAGAACGGCTCTGCCCTGGGCTTCTTGGCACCAGTGGGTCCTCGCGCAGAGCGCTCTTCTTTTGGCAGGCCCAAGGGTCYGGGCACCATCAGAGGCCAGTGCCAGTGTCCCTGTGGCCGAGCACGTCTCATGGCCAAGCCTAGCTTTAGGGGAGCGGGCAGCAGGGGGGGTGGGTACTAAAGGGAGTTGAATCTTCCAGATGTACAAAGGTCAGTCTGGCYCTCACCCACCTGCCCATGGCAGGTGCCCCGTCCAGAGCTCTCTGGGTGAGGGACGGTGACAGCCGGGCTGCACAGGGCAGGGCATTCCCTGGGAGCCTACTGTCACACTGGCAGCCCCGCTGGCCCTGGCCTCCTGCCCCTCCGTCGGTGGTGTCCAGTCCTCTGATCCTGAGCCTCCTGAGGCTGCTGTGAGACTGGTGGCTGTGGCTGGCATCTCTTTGGTCCCCAAACCCCCWCCTGGGCATCACAGGGGCCCAGGTTCGCCTTTCTGGGCTCCGGTGCCTCATTCACCACCAACATCTGCTCGGGCCACTCCCAGCTGTGGTTGGGGTCACGGTGTCTGTGGGTTTCTTTGAAGATGGGCGTTTCTGTTTCTGTTTCCTGCAGAGACAGGGTTGGGAACATCTCTACCACGGTCCCCTGAGACCAGAGGCTCTTCTTTCTGAACCCCAGATGAGTCTGTGATACAGAGATCGGGGGTTATTCATGGTCTGTCTCCTCCCCTGAGTGGTCAGAGGGCCCTTCCGCCCGCTCTGCACTGCCCACCCTGGACACAGCTTGGGGTGCAGAACCCAGTGCCCGTGGGAACTGAATGGAATTTGGGATCACCTGGGTAGCTGCTCGATTCGCCTCCCTTGAGGTCCCCCCAGAGGTCTCCTATAGACGTCCTGGTGGCCTCCCTCATCCCAGGGCCCCGCCTGCCTTGCCCCCCACACCCCTGGAGGCCTGGAGGGAGCCAGATGTTGGGGTGGGGGATTTGGAGGGAGAACACCTGGGACAGAGACCAAAGAGTCGACGGCAAGTCCGTGGCTGGCATCTCTCTGGTCACCGTCTCTGGGCACCAAACCTCACGGCCCTCCGCAGCAGCCACACCCTCTCTCGGGCCATTCTGGGGTGGCTGGGGCTGCCGTCCGTGGGGACTCCACTGGGCAGACACATCCAGGTGGCCCTGCCCCAGGTGCCCGGCAGGAGGGTCGGGAGGCTGGGCTCAGGGGACGGTTGGCGCCCTCCGTCCCCACCGCCAGCCCTTCCACCTGTTCCCTCATCTGTGTGAACCACAGACCTCGGCCCTGCGTCTGTCGGGTGCCCAGCTGTCACCAAGGGATTGGTGTCAAGGGTGGCACAGCCAAGGAGGCCCTGCTGTCCCCGAGCTCACAGTCTGGGGGTCTCGCTAACGAAGGCCCGTTTCACCGTTGCTGAATCTTGAGCAGCTACGAAGATGGCCCCGGGGAGGGGAGCCCCTGGCACCACCGTGGAACCTTCTGGAAGCAGCCCTACAGCTGGGGCTGTGGGAGGGGGTGGCTCCAGGGACAGGCCACAGACTCACACAGGCACGTGGAGAAGGCTGGGTTCTGCTGAATGTCCCCAGGAGCCACCCCAGGAGTAAAACACAGGGGTGACCGATGTGACTCAGTGTGACTGTGTGTCAACGAGGAGGAGGGAGGGGCCCGGCCCAGGGCAGGGAGCAGCCTGGGGAGGCCAAGTCGTCCAGGCTGGGCCGGGAACCGGGGGATGCTGAGAATCAGCGGCAGCCAGCCTCCAAGACAGACAGCTGGAGGGACTGGTCCTGTGTGGCAGGCGCCCTGTCGCCCCCAGGCCATGACTGCATGGGGGGGGGAGTGTGATGGGAGCAGGTGTGGATAAGGGAGGGCCGCCCACACCCAGCTCCTTCCTGCTTTAAAACAGGTTCCTCTGACTCCCCTTTTCTGTCTGGGGGCCAGCTCACTCCACGTCCAGGGCCTGCCGGGCGCGGCAGCCTGGGGCAGTGGTAGCCAGGGAGAGAACAGCTCGGGGTCTCCCTTACCCAGCTCTAACCCCAGGCCCCCCGAGCCTCCACCGCTTTCTCTGCAAACTGGGGCCCCTGGTCTGGCCGAAGGCAGCTCTGAGAGGGGAGCAGAGGACAGGCGGAGTGGCCAGGGCGCCTGGACGGGTTCACCACGGACACCACCATGGKCGTAAAAGCCAGGACTGTCTCCCTGGGCGGGTTTAGGGCCCACACTCACACAGAGGGACCCCAGACCCCTTYCAGCTCAGAAGCAGGTTTGAGGGGCAGAGGACAGGGGCCAGGAGAGGACCCAGCCCACGCGGGGGCCTGGGAGTCCGAGGGGAGCTGGAGGGAGGACCGTCCAGCCCCGGGAGCAGGGTGAGCGCAGGGTGGGGGCGGGGTGAGGGGGCGGGGTGAGGTGGCCGGTCCCTGGCCCTGGCCTGGGGAGGGTCTGGGATGGATCCCCAGGCCCAGCACAGAGCAGAGGGGACTGGGGGTCCTGCCTGGGAACCCGGGGTGTAAGGGTGGCCGAGCTCCGGGGCAGCGGAGCAGGTCCCGGGTGGGCATGGGGGCTCCGTCTCTTGGCCTCTCTGGAGCGTCCACCCCTGCAGCCGGGGACTCGGACCTGAAGCAGCTCCGGGCGCACAGTGGGGCCGGTGGACACGTGTCGGGGGAGTGAAAGGTTTGGCTGGAGAAGGGAGGTAGCTCTCTGTGCAGGGGGCCGCGCGGCTCTCAGTTTCCCTTTGGGAACGAACCCTCCGCCCTCCTGCAGTTCCCCGGGGTTGACTCCGCTGCTGGCCGCAGTGCAGCCACAGGGTCCAGGCCCGGTCAGTCAGCACCCAGAGCCTTCTGACCGCCGTGATTGACTGCCTCACACTCAAGCTGCCCAGAGTAAACTAAATTCATGAGAATTTAGTCTGGGGCAGACACTTGCTCTGTTGGCTTAACTTGAACTTGAAAAGATGAAGTCCTCAGGACTTGGCTGAGAATAAACCAGCCCGCAGCAGCCGAGCCAAGGAGTGCGGGGAACCAGGCCCCCGTGACGTCACTGGGCCCCCTGATCAAGCTGCACCTGAAGTCATGACAGTTTCAGACGGGAGCCATATATTTATTTTCTGCTTCAGAAGCTTGAACGGGGTTTTCTACTTGCGGCAGCAGAGTCCTGACGGGCAGAGCAGGAGCAGCGGAGGGCTCTCCCAGGAGGATGCGCTCAGGGTCCCGGAGTGAGYGGAAGGTCACGGGGAGGGCAGGGGCTTGGGGGACACCACAGAGAGGAAGAGAACCGACCTGTTCACATCATCTCAAAGAAGGAGAACGAGGGGCAGGGGAGCCGCTTCGAAGGCCCTGTTTTGCTCAGCCTGACTTTCAGAGAAGCAGGACCTCAGCATCAGAGGGAGACCCTGGCCTGAAGGTCAACATGGAGAGGGCCTGGGGCGAGTGGGCGTGGGCTGCCCTTGACCTGGGGCCCCTGGCCCTGGGGAGGCAGGAGCCTGGGATCAGGACCCGGCCCAGGGCTGTCCAGCGGAGACGGTCAGCCAAGCTCTGCAGCCATCATAAGAAACGTCACAGKGAGGGGACAGGCCAGCCACGGAGCCCTCGGGCTTTGGACAGGGACCCCCGAGGGTCAGGACCACCGGGAGGGAGGGCTGGGCACCTGGAAGGCAGAGGGCCGGGTGAGGCACAGCACACTCCAGCCCCCGGCCTGGCCCCGCCYGGGGTCTCCTTGCTCAGCCTGTCCCACCTCCGCCCGATGCGACTGGAGCTCAGGGCTCCCCACGCTCTCCCGGGGCAGGACCCGGCGTCCCTCCTTCCTCCCGCCCACCCCGTGTGCAAGAGCCCGCTGAGCCGGGCAGCGACCYGGCGCCCTGGCCCTCAGGCCTCCTGGAAACAGTGCCCAGGGCAGGCTGGGCTCCGGCAAGTGACAACATGGACGGGAAACTGAGGCTCCGCCCTACCTACTGCCCGCTGTCCCTGCCTGAAGGCCCCCTCAGTGACCCGTGGGACGCCGCTGAGGGGCTGGACGTCCCCTTCCACCAGGGCCCGCTGGGCAGGGCCTCACCTAGAGGAGGCTGCAGGGGCGCTTCTGCTGCCGCGTGGGCTGGGGGCACAGGACGGCGCGGATGGCCTCGTCGAAGACGGTCTTCAGGCCCCGCTGGGTGAGGGCCGARCACTCCAGGTACTTGACAGAGTCTGGGGAGGGACGGCAGAGGCTGAGCCGGGGTGGRGGGCTCTCCTGACGACCCCGCCCAGGCCGCCCGGCTGGGAACTGCCCGGGGGTCCAGTGTGGGGTGCAGTCCCCGCCRGGCCTCTGGGCGCTGTGTGACCCTGGGCAGGGCATGGGCCTCTCTGTGCACTGTAACCTACACAGCAGGCCTCTGGGTCCCGCCCCAGGATGCAAATCACCCAGGAAGTCGGAGGCACCTGTGCCCCCACCGCCAGGCCCCGGGACAGCGTCCTTGGCATYGTCCCCACGGCAGAGGGAAACTGAGGCCTGCAGAGGGTCGCCGCTCACCCCAAGTCACGGGCTGGACGCTCCCCCACCCCCCAGCTCAGTGGGACAGAACAGGGGACCAGCTGGAGGGCTGGAGCGCCCTAGGACTGGCCAGCCCCAACCCCAGGCCCCTGCTCCCTCTAGGACACACTGACCCAGGACAGGGACAGGAGCCGCCCAGGGCAGGGGCCAGGCCAATGTGGCGGGCAGCCAGGCGGCTCAGGTTCAAGGCTGGGCACTGCCACGTCCTGGCTGGGAGGCCTTAAGCCAGGGCCTTCTCCTGAGCCTCAGGGTCCCCTCTGTACCGGGGGGTGACAGTGTCCTCCCCCAGCGGCTGGGAGGCCTGACACCCACCGATGCTCAGCCCRCGTCCACATGCTCTGCAGTGGGATCTGGGGCTTGTCCCCGGGTCACCCTGGCGGCCAGAGGCAGCCAGCCCTGTGGGCCCCAGGCCCCTCCCTGTCCCCCCAGGGTCAGCTCCCGAGCCCAGCTGGAGGCCAAGGGGGGCCCTGCCTCGTCTCCTTGAACAGGACAAGGCCCTGTGGGGACTGTCCMGAGGTGCAGATGGACAGACCGAGGCCCAGGGGCAGCCGCCAGCCCACGGCCACCGCCAGTCAGCACTGAAGCCGGGACCAGAACCTGGCCCCCAGGGCCCTCTGGGAAGGGACTCCAGGAGAGGACACTGTAGGGGACAGCCGGGAGGCACTGTAGGGGACAGCCGGGGCGGAGACCGGGGGCAGGGGAAGGCAGGGCCAAGTCCCCGCATGGTGAGAGAGCCTAGTGGCCAGGGTGGGCAGAGACCAGGCCTCGGGCAGCAGGCGGAGCCCGGGGAGGTGGCGGAGCGGGGGAGGTGGCCGTCCCCACAGGCGCARGAAGGAGGGGGGCCACTGCGGTTTCTCTTCCTGTGAAGACGGCATCCGCCCATTTCCGCCCACGGGGCAGGGGCAGGGGGAGGTGCCAGCCCCGGGCCTCGGAGGACGCTGTGGCCGAGGCCAAGAGGGCCCGTCCAGCTAGTGGCCTGGTCGGGGACAACAAGGGACAGGGCAGAGCCACCAGGCCTGGCCCCAGGGGCAAGGTGCAGGCAGCCCTCCATGAGGAGGACCCCCRCCCGCCCCCACCCTGGACAGCAGTCTGTCCTTTCAGGATCTGATCTGCAGATCCGCGCGGCCACTCGGGCGGGGCCACTCTGAGGACGCAGTGTCCCCTCTGCCCAGTGATCCCTCTGGGGGCAAAGAGGAGCCGGCCGAGCAGCCAGGGCTGGGGGGAGGAGGAGCAGGGTGATGTGTCACCTCCCCAGGAAGCCAACGTGACTGGCTGCCTGTCCCCCAAGTGACCACAGCCCACGTCACCCACTCCTGCTGTCTGGGGCTGGCACACCCCCTTGTTTCCAGGGCCTTCCTGTGGTCACGGTCATCGTCCAACATGGCACTGCCTGCTGCCTGTGGGGCCGCACTAGGAGCCTGCTCGACTCAGTGTTCCAACCACCAGATGAGGCAGGAGCCATGTCTGACAGGCACAGAGAGGCTAAGCGACTAGCCCCAGGCCACACAGCACAGCCAGAGTTCAGATCACGTGGCCTGGCCCCAGGGAAGGCTGCTTTGGGGTGCCCCCTGCACCCAGCTCCCCTCTCGGAGCCCAAGCCCCGTACCTATCTCCTTGGCCAGGGCCAGGCCCTGTGGGTACGTGATGGGTGCCAGCTTCTTCTCCTTCAGCCTCTCGATGGTGTCCTTGTCGTCCCTCAGGTCCAGCTTGGTGCCCACCAGGATGATGGGGGTGCTGGGGCAGTGGTGCCGCACCTCGGGGAACCACTGGGCGGGTGGCGGGAGGCGGGGTGCAGGGAGCAGGAAGAGCGCCAGGGGACATCGGGAGAAGGTGAGAGGGGCCAACAGGGACAGGAGGAGGGGCCAACAGGGACAGGACCAGGTCAGGGGGTCGGGTGAGGTCACTGGCCCAGCCCCTGCAGGCCCCTCAGTCTCACCCGGTGCCACCCCGCCAGCCCTGGCTGGCACCAGAGACCCTCCTGCCTCTGCCCCGGCCTCTGCTGCCCGGGGGCCTCCGTTGCCAGTCCCCCCCCAGGCCCCGGCCCCTCTGGCCCCTCAGTCCCCTCAGGCCCCTCTGGCCAGCTCACCTTGGCGCGCACATTCTCATAGGAGGCCGGGCTGACCAGGGAGAAGCAGATGAGGAAGACGTCCTGCAGGGAGAGGCCGGTGAGCCACGGCGTCCACTGGCCCCACCTGGCAGCCATGGAGCGGCCGGCCCCCCCAGAGGGAGGAGCAGGGCGGGCCCTGGGGGCTGAGGGGTGCCCRGGGCGGGGACAGCAAGGCAGAGCCAGGTCTTGCCCAGGTGCCCCTGGTGAGGGAGGGGTGTCACCACCCAGAGTCCACGCTCCTGCCCGTCCCCAGCCTGCCCCGGAGGGAGAGCCGAGGGCCAGGGCTGGGCACCTCGGTGGGCGTCCCCAGCTGCGCCCCGGCAGGCTCCACCAACCGGCCTCCAGGGCCACCAGGCCAGAGGGGCAGGGCCTCCTCGCGGAGGAGTGGGGAGCACAGAGCCCGGAGCGCGAGGAGGGCGGGGGCCGCGCACCGTCTGGGGGTAGGAAAGTGGCCGCAGTCGGTCGTAGTCCTCCTGGCCAGCCGTGTCCCACAGCCCCAGGTTCACGGGCTTGCTGTCCACCATCACATTGGCTGAGTAGTTGTCAAACCTGTGGGAGGAGGTACGACAGGACCAGGTCAGCCTCTAGTCCAGAGCCCCGACATCCACTGAAGCCCTGCATCGTCCCCTTCAGAGGATGAACACCAGAGAGGGGCGGCGACTAGCCCATTGTCACACAGCACTGTGCAGTTGGGTTTTCTTGATCTTTTTCATGACTGATTCATTATATTTAAAAAATTTTTTTCTGGGCTGGGAGTGGTGGCGCACGCCTGTCATCCCAGCGGCTCCGGAGGCTGAGGCAGGAGAATCGCGAGTTCAAAACCAGCCTCAGCAAAAGTGAGGCGGTAAGCAGCTCAGTGAGACCCTGTCTCTAAATAAATGCAAAGTACCGCTGGGGACGGGCTCAGTGGCCGAGGGCCCCCGAGTTCAACCCCTGGTTCCAAAACCTGACAGAGAACATGGCCTCTCCGTTGTCTCTCTGCCTTCAACTGTGACAGATCCCCACAAACTCCCTCCTGGTCTCCATCCGTGTAAGCGTCACCCGCCTCCTGTGCCGCACACCGAGGTTGTCACCTGGTGCCTGTTGAATGAATGTTCATCCCCGTTTTAGGCTGGGACCCCCAGGAGCCACCAGAGACAACGACCTGGGGCAGAGGCCCCGGGAGACGTGGGGAGGGAGCCGCAGGAGGAGGAAGGACGCGGCCGCCTGGGAGGTGCCAGGGGCTGTGACCRCCGTGGCCTCGGGTGCTCAGGCTGCTGGGGACACTGGGGACAGTGGGGACCAGGGGCAGGGCCTCCTTGAGGGGCAGGAACCTGGGACTCCTGTGGGCAGAGGGCTGCCCTGGGGCCCTGCAGTGCACAGAGCCCCCCAGTCACGGGTCCATGGCAAAGCCCGACAGGAGGCCAGGCAGGGTGGGGAGCCTGAGAAGATGGGAAAGGGGAAGTCCTGGGGCCCTGGGAGGTCCAGCCTGGGGCCTCCAGCGTGTCTGGGGCAGGCTTGGGAGAGCAAGTTCCCAATACACACGCGACTAGATCACGCTGAATCCTCAGGCCAGAGAGAAGAAAATGCATCAGAGAGGCATAGCAACTTGCCCAAGGTCACCCAGCCAATGAGAGACCCAACGAGCTGAGAAGCCACGTTGGCATAACTCCACATCCAGTGTTCCCAGCCCCGGGCCCCAGCTGTGCCTCCAAGGATGCCCTCATCACCTGCCCCTGAGGGTTGGGGACCACCCTCACCTCACTGAGGTCCCCCACACAGGCCCTGCTCCTCATCTCCTGAGCTTGCCCACTGAGGCCTTGGCCTCCTCTGGCCTCTACCTGTCTCCCCTGGCACAGCAGCCAGACTGCTCCCAGGGCAAGGCTCGCACGGCCCGCCTCCCTGTGCCCGTACAGGTAGCACCCCTGCCCAGAACGCCCAGCCCTGCCTCAGCTGGTCCAAACAGCCCTGAGCGTCCTCATCTCCCACACCCTCCAGGCCTCCCTCCTGGGCCTCCTCTGGAATCCGCCCCCCCACATGCACTGGCTTCCATTCCCCCTTCAGAGCCCTCCCAGGCCCTGCCCCCTGCCTGAGGACCTTCCCTGCCCCAGCCTGAAGGAGCCAGGGACCCCTCCCTCGTTGACTGCCCGGCTTGACCCTGACCATGAGCCGGCATTTGTGACAGCTCTGACCCTCCAAGGCCGGGCTCCCTGTCGGCCAGGCCCGGTCTGCTCACCCCGCTGTCTTGGGCTGAGCCCAGCGGACGCAGCTGGAAGGGAACCAACCCGTCCCCACCTCCTGGGCCAACAGAAGGATCCCAAGGGACCGCGGGTAGCCCTCACCGGGAGGAGCTGGGAGCTGAGTGATGCCATTCCTCGTGTCCCTAAGTGCCTCCCATGGGCCCTCCCAGGGGACAGCTGTAGGGATGTGACATGATGTGAATCCCTGGGGTCCCCCCATGAGGTCCACAGGCAACCAGGACCAGAGGACCCTTGCGCAGGACCCTGGACGACCCCACTCCCAYTCTCCAGATGAGGAACCGAGGCTCACGAGCAGGAAGGGACAGGCCCAAGGTCTCCCAGCCAACTGGTGACCGAGCAAGGACAAAGTCCTGTTACCCAACTCAGAATCTCTGCTATTTCACGACTGGAGACAGGTGGGGACAGTGAGGACAGTGGGGACAGGCTCGGAGGCCTGGCCTCTGACGGCAGCCCAACCTGCCACTGTCATGCAGTGAAGGAGGGTAGGTGAAGGAGGGGTCTGCAGCCAGGTGTCACCTGGCCACCACCCTAGCCTCCCCTGAGTATGATCAACGGTGTGTTCCAGGAACCCAAAGACCACAAGTCACACAAGGCTGGTGACTTGGGGACTGGGGAGGATGGACCAGGCAAGCAGGGGCATCAAACCAGCAAGGACTCGGCTCCTGGAGGCTGGACRTCCTGCTGCCCATGGGAAGCCCAGGTTTGCTTGGCCAGCTCACAGAGAGGATCATGGGGGAGGTAAAACCAGGTTCCGACCAGTCGGCCGAAGTGACTTCTCAGGGCTCTGCCTGCCCACCCTGCCAGGTGCCGGGCCATTGGCACCTGTGATGCGCTCAATTGTTCTAGAAGTTACTACTCTGTTCCAGAATCAAGAGGAAATTGGACSGTTTCAGGGCCCGTCCTCAGGAAGCGCCCCCCAGCAAGGCCGCCCAGCCCACGAGCAGGGAGATGGAGTTCCATGGGGACCAGAGGAAGGTCCAGGGGGTGTCGGGAGCCCCTGTGCAGGGCCTGGGGGAGGCCGCCCTGTGAGGTCATCAAAGAAGCCTGAAACCTGGAGGAGGAAGGTGGGAGATGCTGGGGTCGGACAGGAGATGGGTGTTAAGTGTGAAGGGGCCCCAGGAGGGATTCCACCTTTGAAAGCTGGCCTGGCCTTCAGTTCCAGAGTGATCTTAAGGGGGTGACGCGGGCGGGACCCTCTACATCACAGGCCCCGAGGCCAGGGTCCTGCCTTGTCTTTGTGTCCCCAACTCCCAGCTTGGGACCATCCAGGGAGCAGCTACAGTCTCCCTGTTTGTGAAAACGTGCCAAGACCTCAGGGGCCCTGCTGGCTTCAGTATCCACCTTTCGGGCCACCAGGCGACCAGCACCCAGGCTGCCCCTGTAGTCCCTGTCCACACCGCGCAGCGGATCGCCTCTAGGGGAATGCGGAGGAGGGGGTAGCAGGAGCCAATCGGGGGGCAGCTCTGCTGGTCCTGGCTCCTGATTGGCCGGCTGCCCGTGCAACTCACTCCGAGGCCACAGATTCAGGTCGCCTCCGGGTGTTAACCCCCCAGCCGCTGGCAGCCACCCGAGCTCAGTCCCCAGGCTCATCGCATCTTGTGCCGGTCCCAGGAACACCACCACCACACCCCACCACCCCACCACCCACCCCACCCCCGTCCCAGAAGTACTCCCCGATCTTCTGGCGAGCACCAGCGCTCTCTCGCGCTCTCTGGGGCCGCTTCCGAACCCACCCTCTCTCCTTCACCCCCTCCAATGCCGAGTGCCCAGCGTGCCTTCTTTTACCCTCCTGTCACGGGCGCWCGGGCATTGGTGATAGCGAGACCCTCTGGGGTCTTGTCCAGGACCGAGCCACTTTGCTGGAAGGCGGGCGGCATGCAGGGCCCCAGATAATATGCAGAACCCAGTGGACAAGGAAAACTCAGGGCCCGATGACAAAAATAATCACAAGATTCAAGGGGGAGGGGACATTGGAGCATTAAACCAGGTGCAGGACCCTTCTGAGCATGGAGCCTGTGGAACCATACAGGTGTGCCCCGGCCCAGCCTCTGAGTGTCCTCAGCAGCCCAGTCCTCTAGGGGCCACAGGGACTTCAAGTTGCTCAGAGCAGGGGGCCTGGCCTGACCTCGGCGACCTCAGTCCTGTTCCCTTGCACAGGGAGGGTGCCCGCCTGGCTGGGACCTCCTGCCCTGTCCCTGCCTCTCACAGATGGGACCTGCGGCTGACAGGCTCCGAAGGGGGAGCAGCTGCTCCAAAGTCCTTTTGCAAGTGCGTCCTCCAACCCAGCCAGGACAGGGGCCGACAGGGTCTCCAGCCAGAAGGCAGGGACGGGGACACCGGCAGGGACAACACACTCCTGGTGACAGTGGTCTCCGGGGGAGCCACCTCTCCGGTCCCGACTGCCTCTCTGCTCAGGGGCACAGCTGGCCCTCCTCTGCCCCTGGGCACTGTCCTCCCTTCTGCCCCTCCTCCACCTACGGGAAAGAACCTGAAACCGGCTCCTGAAAGGGGGTCACACTGAGGCCAAGAGGGAGGGCCCAGCCCTGCTGTCCACAGCCCCACTCCGAAGCCAGACAGGCCTGGCTGACTCTGGGGGCAAGTCCCTTAGGGGTGCACTGGCCACCGTAACACCCACCTCCAGAGAGTGTTATATGCCTGTGGCACCCGTCCACCCAGCACGCAGTAGGTCCTCAGTGGGTCCTCCCAGCACACAGTAGGTCCTCAGTGGGTCCTCCCAGCCTCTCCCACGGGCCCAGTGAGGCCAGCTTACAACACACAGACGCATGTGGAGCACTGTGCATGTCACGCTGTGGGGGACCCTGCGCTGGGACAGCGGTGGGCCCAGGAAGAACCGGATGTGCTGCCCATCTGCACATGGTCATGGAGAGGTGGGGAGCCGCTCTGGAGGGTGAGAGGCCTGGGCACAGTGGATCTGAGAGGCTTCCTGGAGGAGGGGCCTGGGTGGGCCCTGGGGGCTTGGGCAGGTGGGCGTGGGGGGCACTGCACGCGCAGAAGAACTTAAGCAAAGGCGGAAGGTAGGAGTGCCCGGGACGTCTGTGCCACAGTAGAGCTCATGGACAGAGTGGGCGGCTGGTGGAGACAGGTCCTTGACGGCCATGCTGGGCCCCGGGAGCTGCCTGGCTGAGGGACACCTGACACCTGCGTGCTCCTCCCTCCACGGCGCGGGGCAGCCCTGCCTGCACATCTAGCAGCAGAGGGTGGCCTCCGACGGCCACCGCGGGCACTGCCCTGCTCCCGCGCCAGCCCCTGCCGCAGCCTCTGCAGGCCGCCGTGTCGAGGCCCAGAGCGCCCTCCTCCTCCGCCCTCTGCTTCCTCACCAACAGCTCCCCTGCCTCCCGCTCCATCCAGCCCTGTCCTCCCTGCCCCTCTGTGGGGAGCCCRCGTGCTCCCTGGCACCCTCCCCACCACCCGCCTCGTCCGCTCCGTCTCTCCCTCCTGGGCCTCCACAGGCCTGGCGTGGGCTGCCGCCTCCCCAGGGGGACCTGGCTCTGATGCCACCTGACTGCCTGAGCCSTGGATGCACCCAGGGGCCTGTCCCATGGGAGGGGCCTGGAGGGGGGCCTTGGCACTCACACGGTGGGGATGTACTCTCCTGGGAAGGCGTTGGTGGTGTAGCTGATGAGGAGGCAGGTCTTTCCCACGGCTCTGCAAGACAGGAAGCGAGAGGGCGTGTCGAGGCTCTGTCTGGGGCCTGCCTGGTCCCCCAAGAAGGCCCAGAGTCTGCCCAAGCCCCGACCTCTGAGCCTCAGTCTCCCACCGTGACACCCCCGTCAGTGTCAACCCCAGAGCCTGCAAGGGTCCCCGAGGTGCCTGTGCGTGCAGACTCTCGGACCCCGGAGATTCTGGTCCACGGTGTGGGCGGAGCTGGGGCCCCCGAGGTGTGGGTCATGGGGACAGAGGAGCAGGAKCGGGGGATGCCCGGGGACCATGCCATAGAGCCTCTGGGCAAGATGTCACAGCCACGGCAGGTGGTGACCATTAGGGAAACTACCCCCGTACCTCCCTCCTTGCCATGGAACAAGGCAGTTAAGGACACAGAATTTTTTAAAGTCAAAGAGACCTGGGACCAATTCCTGTGCAAGATTTGGCAAATGACTTAACCTCTCTGAGCTTCTGTTTTCCCACCTATAAAGTGGACTTGATATTAGGGAGCTTAGTCTGCAGGGGCCCTGCTCAAGCCCAGGGCTGGCACCCAGSGGAAAATGACTGGCCACAGCCCTTGTGGGGTGTCCCCCATCCTGCTGGGCCAGCAGACGGCAAATGTAGCTCAGCCAGGAGCAGAAAGGCCAGGGGCCACTCTGGGCCTTCCCCAGCTCTGCCTGGTTCCGTCACTTCCTGTTCCTTCMGAGCAGGCTGCTGGCCCTCGGGGCCTGCCACCAAAGTACCTTTGAATGTTACCCTTGACTTCCGCCCGCCTGCTCAGATCAGATGCAAAGCAGAAGTGAGCGGCGGCTGCGGCCAGATAACGGCCACCGGCCTCCAGTCAGCTGAGGGCGCCTGTGGACGCCGTCCCCCAGGAGCCTCGGGCAGGACTGGGCCAGGCAGGATCCCCAGGCGGCCCCTGCATGGGGAGCTGGGCAGGAGGCCAGGGCCAGCCAGACACCTGGGATGGACCCGGGCCACCTGGGGCTGGTTCCCAACCTGTGCGGCAGGCTTGTGAGTCACAGGGGAACTGTCATTCTACAGATGAGGAAACGGAAGGGCACAGGGACAGGACAGCCCAAGGTCACCGAGTTCCAACCGCTGCGGAGGGCCTGGCCCAGCTGGCCACTCGGGTCCCCACAGTCACCCTGCCCCTCCTGCCGCTCTCCTTCCCTAAATCCGCCCCCCTGCGCCCCCCATTCTGCGCCCCCCACCCCCACGCACATTCTCCCCCACTACAAGCTTCGGGGAGGTAGGAAGGCACCACAGTGACCCAGCCGGCTCCTCTCCCTCCTCTTCCCAGGGGGCTTGGGGCCGTTCAGGGAAGGGCTGGGACCTGCCCAAGGCCACATCCCCTCACCGGCCCCCATCTCGGGCCTAGACCCCACCAGCCTGGGGACAAAAGCCAGGCTCCCTCCTCCTGGCCGCAATCTGCAGAATTGGAGACAGGGGCTCGCATCCCTGGACACCTGCCCCCAGATCCTGGGGTGCAGGCCAGCAGCCCTGGGCACCCCCCACTGTCCTGTAGCCCCACCCAGGTGGCTTTGGGGGTGGGTGGGGTGGGGTGGGCCCCCTGGACCCTGGGAGAGGCCTCCTTCCAGCTGCGGGGCACCAGGCAGGAGGGTTGCAGGTAGGGGCTGTGAGGAAGTTCAGCCAGGTACCTACCCATCTCCCACCACCACACACTTGATGGCCTGCATTGTGTCCGGGCCTGAGGGACGGCAGTGACAGCTCAGGACAGGAGAGCTTCCCCAGGCGCCAGGGGTGTGCAGAGGCTGGCAGGTGCCCCGGCAGCAGCGAGGAGCAGCCACCCACAGCCCAGGAGCAGGAGGAAGCGGAAGGGGAACTTGCCCAAGCCGCTGCCCCCACAGCCTTGCAGGGGGCGGGGCGTGCAGCCTGAGAGGAGCAGGGGCCCCTCAGGTGCGGGGCTGAGCCCTGGCCACCCCGCGGGCACCTCTGGGTACCTTCTCCACCAGGAGACTGGCTTCCCGACCCAGGGCCAGGGCCAAAGTTGTTCTCCAAGAACAGGGGATTTCCAAACATTCAGTTTGCCTTGGTTTGAAGCATGAGCATTTAATGAGTGCCTACTGTATACCAGGCCCAAGWCCAGGAGCTGGTGATTCCCAGGGGCCAGAGGCAGAGCACGTCCCAGTAGAGAAGGAAGTGCCTTGCCCCAGGCGTCTGTWAACAGGGCAGGACGGGACTGAGGGATCTACAGGGCGGGGACCTCAGGCTCACCTAGAGGGAGAGGCGGGACAGGGACAGCAGGGGCCCTACAGGTGGCTCTGAGCCTGCCTTTGAAAYGTGGTGTCCAGGAGAGAGCAATTAGGGTGGGGGCTGCCTGGGCCTACTCAGGGCGTCCCCCAAACTAGGGCCCAGATGAGAGGTGGGGAGAGGAGGCCAGAAGGGGAGGCTGGGGTCCCTGGTGGAGAAGCGACGGAAGGAAAGCGGCTGCGCGTCCTGCTTGCCCAGGCCTGCCCTGGAGACCAGGGGCTCTGGAGCAAGGCACGGCRGCCTATTTCATGGATGAAGAAACCGAGGGTCTGAGAAGCCAGACCACCCGGCCTGAAATCAACCTGGGGCCAGCAAACCCCAGGCACTTCTGGCACCGAGCTGCTGTCTGGTGGGGACGAAGGCTTTGGGGTGAGGGTGTGTCCCCCTTATTGGCACTGCTCACAGCCAGCCTCTTTCCAACTCCARGAGAAGGGGCAAGAGAAGGGAAGGGAGAGACGGAGCCTCCAGCCCCCCCCCCCAAGCCAGGAAACCCTCAGCATGGTGCAGAGGGCGGGGCCTGCGGGTGCCAGGTGCCCCTCCCAGGGACCCTCCCTCCCGGCCTTCTGCACTGGCCTCTGTGCCCACCTCTGCTCCCATCCACTACCAGACCCCGAGCAACCCCTCGCCAACCCCTAAAGGAGGCGCCTAATCATGTGGTTTCCTGGACTGCGGCAAACGGAAAACGAACCCCAGTGGGAAAGTGGGGTCCAGAGGGAGTCTGAGCTTGGTCCCTAGTGTTGTCACCAGCGCTCCCTTCTTGGTCTCCACCAGGGCACCCGGTGGTCACAGGAAGGGGCACTGGGTGCAGCTCACCTTGGTGAACTCTCTTTCTAACCTGGCAAATCTCCTCTATTTAAAGAAAAAGAGAACGTGCCGGGGGCACAGCTCCTCTATTTAAAGAAAAAGAGAACGTGCCGGGGGCACAGCTCAGGGTGGGACACAGGCGTGGGCTGCCCGGGGCGGAGCTCAGCCCCAGCACGAAGCTTCCTGGCTCAGGTGTTTCTGAGCGCCCAGCTGGCTGCCTGCGCCTCTCCGGCCCGTTTCTTAGGAAGTTTTGTTCCGAGTGCGGACATGACACGTTTGGTTATTCATTATTTGTCTTCTTTTGATCAAATTCACTGAATCACAGAACCGCAGCCCCTGGGCTGGCCTGGTCCCACTCCTGACCTGCCCTGGCCCCACCGGTAGACAAGGCCTACGCCCGTCCCCGCTCACACACCTCCAGTGACAGGGAGCTCAGTCCCTTACGGGGCAGCCTCTTCCATCCCTGGCTAGCCCCATCTGTTAGAAACCCTTCCTCTTTTTCAGCCCAGATCCACGTCCCTGGATCGGCCCTCAGAGATCCTAGTCCTTGTCCTGGGGCCACTCGGAATGTTAACTCTCCTCCCAACTCAGACCTTAGGATGTGGGGAATTTGCTGGTCCATGTTGGACTTCGTGGAGTTGTCTTTTCTGGTGTATAATATTCCCATCTGTGAATGTATYGAAATATCTTTACCCAACCTGCTGCTAAGAGGTCTTAATGAGGGCTGGGGTTGTGGCTCAGTGGTAGAGCACTYGCCTARCACATGCAAGGCCCTGGGTTCCATCCTCAGCACCATGTAAAACTAAAATAAATATCGTGTCCAACTAAAAAATACAAAAGAGTTCTTAATGACTTTCGATGTCTGAGCCATAAACCGCTCTGTGAACATCTGTGGGCTCCTGGGGCTGATAAGACAGTTTCTGAGAGAGGATGGCAGAGCCGAAGGGCACCTGTGTCTCTCACTTCAACACACAGTCCTACCTCCTGCTCCAGGAGCCCTTGGCCACACTTGGCCTTGAAGCTACTTTGGGGCGGAACTTGGTATCAAACGCAAATGTTCTCCCTACTGACGGAGAAAGCAAGTCTTGCTTAGGACTTCAAGCCAAGGTCATCAAGATGTCGTGTACTTTCCTCTAAAGGTTTTACCGTTTGGCTTTGCATAGGGAGGGCTTACCCTTGGGGTGGATTTGAGGGGAGACGGGGATGGGTTTGACTTTTTGAGAGACGTGGGTTTAGTTTAACGGTCCCCATGGCCAAGGGTTCCAGTACCACCTACGGACAGGGGCACCCCCCATCTTTGCAGGAGTGTGCAGTGTGGACTGGCTCCGAGCCGCTGGGTCTGTGGGTCTACTGTCCACCCAGCAGCCTCAGCGACCCCGGTGCTATATCCGGGCTTTACATCCAGCAGGGAAAACCAGCCTCTCTTGGCCTTTTCCAAAATCGTTCTAGCCTTCGCTCATCACTTTGCCGTCCATGGAAATTTCAGATAAGCTCATCAAAGTTCCAAGAATCGGTGTCAGGATTCAGATCAAAATGGTAGTTGATTTGTAGCAGAATTCGGGGAGAATCGACGTCTCTGGAGCACTGGCCCTTCCTGCCCGGGACCATGCTGAAATTCTCCTTATGTCTTTCAGTACAGTTTCCTAATTTTCCCCAGAAAGTTCATGCACATTTTTCAAAAGATTCCCAGTGTCATTATAACTCATACTTTTTAAAAATTTTTTTGATGTAGATGGACACAATATCTTTATTTTGTTTATTATTTTTTACGTGGTGCTGAGGATCGAACCCAGGGCCTCTCGCGTATGCTGGGCCAAGTGCTCTGCCGCTGAGCCACAACCCCAGCCCATAACTCATACTTTTTTAAAAAATGGATTTTCTGCTTGTTCCCTCTGTAAGGAAAATGTCGCATTTTACATGTTGGACTCACAAGGCAATCTGGATGGAAATTCTCATGAAAACCTCATCAGATCTTTAAAAATCCCCCCCACCCCCCACACACCCCCCCCCCCGTCCCCCACACCCCACACACCCCCCGTCCCCCGCCCCCCGTGCTGGAGATCACACCAGGGCCTCGTGATTGCTGGGCCTGGGGCCCTACCTCTGCACTACCCTCCACCCCCGGCCCTCTTATAATTTACCCAGAGATTTTGCCACTAACATTGTAAATCCAAGACTACCATGTAGASGTTTTTATCATTTGTGGAAAATGTTGGTTTTTTTCCCCTTCCTTCCCATTATAAATCTAACTCCTTGGCTCAACTGAATTCTTTGTTACAGAGCTGAATGGAATTGGCGTTGACCAGAGTCCTCCTCTTATTTCTGATTTTGAAGAAACAGCTTCTATTATTTATTTATTTATTTATTTATTTATTTATTTATTTATTTATTTGGGTACCAGAAAGTGAACCCAGGGTGCTTAACCACTGAGCCACATCCCCAGTCCTTTCTTTATATTTAACTTAGAGGCAGGGTCTCACTGAGTTACTTAGGGCCTCGCTAAATGGCTAAGGCTGGTTTTGAACTTGAACTCCGAGCCTCTAGGAATACAGGCGGTCTAAGGGATGCTATTTACTGGTGTTGTGGACAGTGCCCTTGGAAGTGGGTTGTGACTTGCTTCCTGACCCAGCATGAGTTTTGTGGTTATTGTTGTTTTTGTTTTATCATAAATGGACATGAATTCTGTGTTCCATATATGGCTAACACATCAGAGATGTGAACTTGCTCTTCACAACTTTTACATTATTACAGAYATACTTTCACCTTGCTCCATCTATCAGCTCCGGAGAACGGCGTGTTGAATCTGCGGCCATGATGGGAGTCTATGCGCCTGATCATTCTACCACGTTTTGATTTTTGCTTTATAAACCTTTCAGCGGGATCATCAGATGCACCCGCCTTGAGCGTCATTCCATCTCTCTGAAGACTTTAACTTTTCATTAAAATGGCAGCCAACTCCTGTTAGGTCTTTACCATACTCAAGGTCCAACAGGGAGCTGGCACTTAAAGAAATGTTAATGGAACCCTGGGAACAGCCCCAACAGATTTGGGGATAGCCCATCCCAAGAAGTGATAATGAAGTCCTTCCTGCCCAGATGACTTCTTTGGCCCACCTGTGTCCCAACCCTTCCCCCTACATTCCATCACCAAAACTATAAAAAGGGGAAACAACCGCACTTCCACGGATTCCACCTCTTGGGTCCCCTTCTTCCTCCAGGAGAAGTCTTTTCTGCTGACCTTTAAGAAACTTCTAATTTCTACTCTGATCTGGCCTCGGCGTGCTTCTTTGGTGTTATTCTTCAACATCGGRGAAGCAAGGACTCTGGTCAACAGTGGTCAACAGTGGTAACAGTGGCGGAGTCAGGTCCCAGCCTCAGAGTTCTCCAGTGTGACTGGCCAGGGGACATCCCTGTCCCCCAACCTGCTCCCTGGGCCAACTGCCTCAGACCCCACTTCRGTGCCACTCACCTCCTCCCTCCTCCCATGGGGAGCTGACCTCCCCCTCCCCCGAGAGGCTCTGCTGGGGCAAATTCAGGGCTCAGAGAGGGGACTCTGTCCCAGGAGATCCCCATGAATGTGGCCTCTGTTCATCAGGGACTTTCCTATCTAGAAAACCAGCATTCTGTCCCCAACATGCCCAGTCACCAGGCCCAGCCAGCTCCTCTTGTCCCCAGGTCCCAGGAGCCCTCTCTGCCAGCGCCGGGAGCTCCACTGGCACCTCTGGCCAGGTGAGGAGTAGAGGAAGAGCCTCCTGTCCCAGCAGGTGTCCCTCCTCCT